GATAAATATCAGTAGCCGATATATTGATGTATATTTATATACATTTTAATCATGTAATCTGTAAAAACTAAGAAAAAGGTAATCTATAAGCCAATAGCTTTAAATTATCCAATATCGGTCGATAATTATCAGTAGCTGATATATCGGTGTAAATTAATATACATTTTATTCATGTAATCTGTTAAAAACGTGGAAATAGGTAATCTATATGCCAATAGCTTTAAATGAATCCAATACCGGACAATAAATATCAGTAGCCGATATATCGGTGTAAATTAATATACATTTTATTCAAGTAATCTGTTAAAAACTAAGAAATATGTAATCTAGAAGCCAATAGCTTTAAATGAATCCAATATCGGTCAATAAATATCAGTAGCCGATATATCGGTGTATATTAATATATATTTTAATCATGTAATCTGCTCAAAACGAAGAAATAGGTAATCTATAAGCCAATAGCTTTAAATGAATCCAATATCGGTCAATAAATATCAGTAGCCGATATATCGGTGTATATTAATATACATTTTATACATGTAATCTGTTAAAAACTAAGAAATGTGTAATCTATAAGCCAATAGCATTAATTGAATCCAGTATTGGCCGATAACTTTCAGTAGCCAATATATCGGTGTATATTAATATACATTTTATTCATGCAATCTGTTAAAAACTAAGAAATGTGTAATCTATAAGCCAATATCTTTAAATGAATCCAATATCGGTGGATAAATATCAGCAGCCGATATATATCAGTGTATATTAATATACATTTTATTAATGTAATGTGTTAAACTAAGAAATATGTAATCTATAAGCCAATAGCTTTGAATGAATCCAATATCGGCCGATAAATATCAGTAGCCGATATATCGGTGTATATTAATATACATTTTATTCATGTAATGTGTTAAAAACTAAGAAATATGTAATCTATAAGCCAATAGCTTTAAATAAATCCAATATCGGCCAATAAATATCAGCAGCCGATATATATCGGTGTATATTAATATACATTTTATTCATGTAATCTGTTAAAACTAAGAAATAAGTAATCTATAAGCCAATAGCTATGAATGAATCCAATATCGGTCGATAAATATCAGTAGCTGATATATCGGTGTATATTAATATACATTTTATTCATGTAATCTGCGGCAGAAAAGGATTTTTAAACACATTTAGATATTTTGTTTGGTGTTGCCAGAGTAACTGAAGCACATGCTGTAAAGACTTCGGCCTCTTCTGGAAAAGGGGCGGGGTGTAACAGCTTTGTTTGTTTTTGCATGCATAATAAACAAGATGTCGGTATTTGGAAAATTATATTATGACTCAAACCTAATTGCAGTTTAATTGTGACGTGGACTCACAGCATTCATGTCGATGCCATTGGTGTAAGACCAGGCGTGCTGGAAATACTCCTCTAGCCTTTGCCGCAGCGGGTTGGGGATCTGGTGGAAGCGGATGAACTCTCGAACCCGCAGCATCTGAGTGTGATATCGAGCCGTTCCCGAGTACAGCCGCTGGATGATGGCAGACACGTTCCCGAAGATACTGGCGTACATGAGGGCTGAACGAGAACAGAAGACCAGGGTTAAGCTACAGACATGATAAAGAACACACACACTAGAGCTGCATGATATTGGAAAAATCTGAATTTTGTATTCCCGTACATTGGAATATACAATTTTACACGATGACATGATGACTTAAATAACTTTATTTGGAAATAATGAACAATTACTTTTAAATTGATGTATAAAAGTGATTACTAATATAAACGTGAAATTAACAGTGCTTTATTGTTTTCAGAGTAGTCAAATCATATTCGGGTACAGAAATTAAAAAATCTTACATAACATAACACTGCAAGAAATATATATATATATATATATATATATATATATATATATATATATATATATATATATATATATATATATATATATATATATATATATATATATATATATATATATATATATATATATATATATATATATATATATATATATATATATATATATATATATATATATATATATATATATATATATATATATATATATATATATATATATATATATATATATATATATATATATATATATATATATATATATATATATATATATATATATATATATATATATATATATATATATATATATATATATATATATATATATATATATATATATATATATATATATATATATATATATATATATATATATATATATATATATATATATATATATATATATATATATATATATATATATATATATATATATATATATATATATATATAATATATATA